TTAATTGTTTTAAAAGTGATAAAGAAAGCCTCATGTTTTTTCTGTTATAAACAAGAGAAAAAAATCCCTGAGAGATTCAAAATACAAAGGTGTATTGCCCCTCTTATATTTAGATTTACTTCAAATTTTTATGCCTCTGCAGTGTCTTTGGAACCATCCTTTTCTCTTGGGGCAAGTAACAGTTTCTTGTCTTGCTGTACTGTGATGCTGATTCTAGGCTGTGTTTGTGTTAAAAGAGGTAGTTTGACACCACTCTGATTTGTCAATGGAGTCAGTAACTTATAAATATATCATTTCACATTTATTTCAATGACAGTTCCTGCTAATTAAATCAGGAGATGTCAAACTGTACAGACAATGAATTCATTAGACATGTTACCACACTGCTCTTATGTCAAGTTAAAAGACAAAGTCCAAATGAAAAACTAACGCTGTAGGAGCCAGAGGTGATTATATGACATCTTACTCAAAAACATTAGCTAGTTAAATGACAGATCACAATGCAAGTACTTAGTTATGAACGCTTCTGTGCATCTATAATTATTTGTATACAACCTTGTTTTAACTGTTTAACAGTTTTGTACTGATTTAAGTTAGCTCATCGCCCATATTCATGATGAGACTATACCAGCACAGCAGGCTAACTCTGAGTGAGCGGTGTTGTTCAACCAGAAAGAAAGAAATATATCCCCAGTAAAGCACAGAATCAAATCGACACCAATGGTATATTACTACCTAAACAGTACAGTACAATGTCTGTGACTCTGTTGATATATTGGTTTGTACAGTTCTGCTAAATTAGGTAAAATGAACTGAATGTATAATGTGTCCAGGTGTGCAGTGGGTCAAATTTTGTCTGTTTCCTAAGAAGCTACTACAAAGAAATATCAGAACCAAAGCCCTACTGTGGTTTGTTAAAAAAAAGTAATAATAATAATAATAATTGAGGCAGATAGGGTAGACTACTGGTTGTAGTAGATGCTTCAAATGTTCATGTTTTGTCTTGCGCTTGGATCAAACTGCTTTACTGAGTTGGTGAGGCTACTATACAAGCATTTATAAGAAAGTGTCACTTTCTGCTCCCTTTAATTCAGTTTCTCACTCACTCTTTTATTCAGCGGGTGAACCTGTCCCATAACCTTAGAATAATTGTAACAGTAATCAGAGTAATGCACTATCTTTTACAAATATTTCCATACTCTTTGTGGTTGTTCGCTCCCTCCACTGCAACACTCTCCACTATTTCCCAGGATGCCTAGCACCAGATCCCAGGTCTCGCGTTGGAGGCGCAAATCTCCAGTGCATATTTTGAACTGCGTAGGAAATACAGGCTTTTTGCGTTGTGTGGGGAAAACAAACCTCAATATGGCAGATGTTGCAATTCTTGATGAGGAGCCAAAGCAAGAGGAGTCTGAGTCCGTTAAGTCTGAGCCCGATGAGAGCTCTCAAGAAACACCCAATGGGGTGAAAACGTGAGTATAAATGATTCAGTTTTCTGTCCGTCCTCTGTGCAGCCATTAGCTAACTTAGCTAAAATGGAGTCCTGGAATGCTAGCCATTGTTAGCGAAGAAACCTTTAACATCTGTTGTTAAACATCGCACAGTACCAGTATAACGTTAATATATGTTAGGTTTGTACTTTATGCAAAAATTATGCAATGCATTTTCAAACAAGGGGCTGAAAATGGCGCGTTCTTCCCACAACATTAAGCATTGTGCAATGGCTTATCCCTAACTGGGTGATAATATCGGTTGTTTTGCTGGTTGGATAGCTAATGCTAATAGAAATCTGAAACAACTGTTATTTCGTCAGCTATTTGTTAAATCAGTTGAGCTGTTAAGCTACTTGATTTCAGATGGCAGTAGAAGTTATCGTTAGAGCCATTATCAACTCATTCGCCTGTTTCATTGTGTCAAGCTAAAGTGAAGTTAGCCACAAAAGCTCAGCGATGTTCCACTTTGCAATAAATAACACCGGCGTTTATTTATTAACTACGCTAGCTAATGCAATATTCCCTTTGCTGCTTTTACCTCATTAGATGGACATTTTTACAACAGGACTGTTTCAGTTTATTCATATTATAGTATGTAAAAATGCAGTGCCATGGTTAAAGTACTTTCTCTTGCATTTTGTAGGGATGATGCTGATGAAAATAAGCCCCTCAAAGAAAAACATGATGCTAAAGAGAAGTCCTCGGGAAGCAGAAGAGGAAACCGCTATCATCCCTACAAAGACAAACATGGTGGAGAAAAGAAAGGTGCTCATAGGAACCGGGTGTTCATCAGCAACATCCCCTATGATATGAAGTGGCAGGCAATTAAAGATCTAATGCGTGAGAAAGGTAATGTCCCCAGTGATGGGGATGGTGTCTCTACAACTCTCTCTCTTGAGCTGATGAGAAATTCTTGACCCTTGACCCTTCTTGACCTGTTTGTTAACAGATGGAGCATTCTGCTTCTAGCAATAGTTAGTCAGTGTGTAGCCTTTTCTGGATCTACTTAGTGCAAATGGGAGGGAACCAAGTTAGTGTGATAATAGGTTATTGGAGTTTTAATAAATTCTTCTGGATGGACACCAATTTAGTTTGGGCTGATATGTCTGTGAGAATAGGAAGATGAACGTAGTTACATTGTTACGTGTCTTATGGCATTGTCAGCTCCAAAATGTAACCTCAAGCCAGTAGTAGAATTGATTGCTGAATGTTTTTGTTGCATCTGCTGCAAGGTGATTCCTGATTATATGAATGAAACTATTGTAATGTTTTACTTTCTGAATTATGGGGGTCTCAAGAAGCCTTTTGAAAGGTCAAAGGACAAAATTCTTAACTGCCATGAATGGAATCTGTTGATAAATGCTGATCATGTTGAAGTGTTTTGAATTTCCCAGGTTTAATGTAGCTATGTTTCTCTCTGGCCTTGGCCTTTGGGTGTCTCAGTCACTGCCCAGAAAGGCATGGTGTTGTCTGGTGGGATGTTGGTCTGGGCTGACTGTTGATCATTAATGGGACATCTCCACCTGTAGCGGCATTACCAAGGCCAACGGCGACTTGAAGACTTGGTGACTTAAATTCCTTTGTTCTTTTGGTATTTTTCCTTTGTATGTCTCATGTAGTTGGTGAGGTTACATACGTGGAGCTCTTTAAGGATGCAGAAGGAAAGTCAAGGGTAAGTGATGTGGCCAACTTGCTGCACGAGGTTTTAAATGTCCTCAGCAGGCTTTCATTAATCAAGTGCTCTTTTAGGTTCTGTTCCTTTGGCTCTTACCATGTTACTGAACTGGAGATACTGTAGGTTGTGTTTAGAGCCTGACAGATGGCTAATGACTGATATTCATTTGAAAGGGAGATGTCCTGTTGATTTTTGGAAAAGTAGTCTAATGAATTCATCCAAGAGTATAATTAGCTTTTGTTGTTGTCATTTCAATAGCTTTAAAAGTTTGTTTGTTTGGCCATTTTCCAAAGGGAAATGTGGGTTGTGTGATTTGTTTTATTGATTGACCCTCATGTCTCAAAATCTTATTTCACAATTTTGTTCTATGGCACAGTTGTCACTTCAAAGGAACAAAACAGCCGTGAGCAATCCTGTAGTGTTTTGTTTTAATACTCTGTTTTTATACAAGTGGCAAAAATGCATACAATAATTGTAAGTGTTTACCATACTATTTTCTTTTATTGCAGTGGTAAAACTGGTTAGTCCTAAACAATGTGCAACATAATATGTTAAAGAATTGTATAACTTTCTGTTATTGGTATCTGCATCCAGTTCAAAACATTGAAATGTTTCAGGTAAATTACAATGCATAGGCATCTTTCAGTGCATATAATATTAAGGAATATGCTGCTCGTAGCCTTTTAACCATGTTTGCAGTAGAACCAAAAACTGCCCAGTGGTCAACATATGGCTAACACTGTTGATAATACCAGAAGCATATTGATAGATTCATTTTCTAATGTTTCAGTGTGTTTTCTTGGTTTTAACTGTGTGTTGTTCATTCCCTTGACTCTGGATGTGTGTGCTACCTGGACTCCTGTGATCCCCCCCTTGCTAGGGTTGTGGGTAAGAGACTATGGTACTTTATTAAACATAGAGCTTCTTTAATGCTTGCATAGACTCACTGTTTCCCTGATTCAACAGTGTGGTGGAGTTCAAAGATGAAGAGTTTGTGAAGAAGGCGATATTGACTATGAATAAGCATGACCTGAATGGGAGGCCACTCAACATCAAGGAGGTAGGCTCAAATTATGGTTAAATGGTCTTATATTTGTATAGCGCCTTTCTATGCTTTACAGCACACTCAAAGCGCTTTCACACTATTTGGCCATTCACCCATTCGCACTCCCAAACACTCGCACATTCACACACCGGTGACATCACCAGGAGCAACTGGGGTGCAGCGTCTTGCTCAAGGACACTTCGGCATGTTGACTGGACAAGCCGGGAATCGAACCGCTAATCCTCCGGTTAGGAAATGACCCACTCTACC